CCCCCCCCCCCATGAGGGGCGGGGCTTCTTGTAGTGGTCCCTCTTTCTGCTCTGGCGGGTGATGCTGCAGCTCACACTTGGCTTTGAAGAGCCTCCTCTGCTGATCTGGTTTTAATTGGACCTGACCTGGTTTCAGCACCGCCGACAGCTCAGCTTTGTCTCCATCCTCCTCCTCCTCCTCCTCCTCCTCCTCCTCTTCCTCCTGTCGGAACCACAGCAGCTCTCACGGCCGTCCGGAGCGGAGCTGTCCATATTCAGCACTTTTTCACCAGCAGGGAAACAGGATCAGACCGGATCCAGGACCAGATCCAGGACCAGATCCAGGACCAGATCCAGGAGAGGCAGACGGTTTCAGGATGGTGTCCAGATCCACGCTTCTGTTCGTCCTGCTTCAGGTTTTTCTGATGCTCCAGCAGGTCTCTGTCCTCCCCACCCCTGCAGCCTCCACGGATGGTGAGTTCAGAACCCGGGGCTCCGGACCGGTTCCGTTAAAACCCAACCGAACATAATTGCAGATATAAGCAGGACTAAGAGACTAAATCAGAGTTTATTTGAGCTGTCAGTAAAGGATGAAGCTCAGAAACTGAGAGGACTGAAAGTTGTTCAGCAGCTTTCAGCTCTTCAGKCTCTATTTTCTGCCACAGTTTAATCTTTTGTTTGATAATCGGATTAAACTGGTCCTCTGGTGGAGAGCAGAGCCCTCCTCATCCTGTGAGCCTCCATTTAGTCCAACAACTCAAATAATGACACAAAGTGCTTCATCTTATTAATGCTTTTAACACTAAATGTTTAATGACGTCATCTTCTTCACAACAAATACAAATAATTTSTATTTTTTTCCTCTCAAATTAAATCACAACTGAAATAAAAGAATTTCCACAAACTTTAGTTTTGTTTTATCTCTGAAGTGAAGTGTCTTTAAAACTTAAAGTTATTCTGATTTACTGGACGTCACAGTGTTTCCTGTCTGCYTCTCATTAAACCAGGAGTCAGGGAGTGAGACACAGGTGTGTGGTTGCCATGGTTAATGTCAATTTATCTATACAGCACATAAAAACAAGAGTTGACCAAAGTGCTTCACAATTCAGMCTTTTTATAATCACAACACTAATCAATTATATGCAAATTATGCAATCAGTGCTACCAACATGTTAGCTCATGCTAGCCTGTTTTCTACCTAAATAATCCAACTTCTTTCTATGATTTTTCTCTCGTTCTCTTTAAACATCTTTACGACTACATAATATTAAGAATTAGAAAAAATGTCAGACTCGTTCAGCTGTATTAGATTTTATGAAATTCTGTATAAACTATTTTTCTTGTGCATGAATGTTTTTTTTCTTCAGTCCTGAAATATAAAAATAATAATGAATAATAAAATTCACAATTTTTTTTAGGTTTATGTCACCTCCACTGGCCATAAAGGTTCATGAAAAGGCTTTGAAAAGGCCCAAGGACCACCAGTTGATAATCACAGCTGTAGCTTATTTTGTGTGTAAAATAATCACTAA